GTGAAAGTTTGAGGTTTTAACTAGATAGTGGTTATTAAAACATTGATTTTAAAAACAGCGGAAGCACTTTAAAGGTAATTGTACCTTGTTCGTTTTAAAAAAGTACTTTTGAGTTTTAAATGAAATAGCGCAAGCGCTCATTTTGACCTTAACTGATAAGATCTGATTCAATAGAATGGTAGTTTGAGACGAGGGTTTTTAAACGAATAGTTTCACCGAAACTATGTTTTAATATTAAAAACAAATGCCAATGACTTACCGAATTCCTTAAGTTGACAAAATACATACCGGTGTCCCGTTTTTAATTATTAAATTTTAGTTAGTTCCTGATTAAACCCAAACTCCCAAATTTTATAATTAGCCTTAGCTTTACATAGTAACCCTTAGATAACAGTAGTTTTGACCATCAGTCCTTGTGGGTTTGATATCTTTTAAAACTACGTGATTGACTGTGCACTTGCAGTCACTACACCCGATAGACTCATAAAGTTGCGGTCAAATATTCGTAGGCTAATACTAAGAACCTACCTTCTAGGGATACCTGTCACAAATCTCACTATAATCTTTAAACCCACAAGGGTTATCTTTTCACCTTCTACTAGCTTGTAGGTCTTATGTCTATGTTGTTATCCTTATCTCGTATGGACTCCTTGTTGTCTTTCATTTTCCATAATCCTTAGGGAATCCCTGCATGTCTCAATCTCTTAGCTAATGTACGACATCATCAAATCTATGTCTTTTATCATCTCCTCCCGTAAGGAGTCCCTGCATGTCTCAATTTGTGAGTCAGAGTAGGATATCATCATCAAACCTGTATAGGGTACCCCTATGTCTATCATCATACTATGTCTACATCGCATTGCATACCCATGAAACTTTTTTACATACCTAAAAGCGAAAAATGGTTTTGCATACCCATGCATTTTCGTACATTCACACATTTTCATTTCATGCATTTCCACCTTCGCGCTTATCCAACTATCATCCATTTTCTAGCCGATTTCTTGATACTGTCAAATGAACTTAAGAAAGTCTAAAACTATGGAAGATGGATATTATATACTAGAGATTCAATGGAGCTTGGTCCTACAAGTCTCATTGGAGAGAGAAGGAAGCCCTTCACCATGACAGCTACAAACCTACATAGCGCCTCAAATGCCACTACCATTGGTGATTCCTCTACAACAAGAGCAACTGTCCTATCAACGAAATAAGTATGCCCAAGAAAAGTCAAGGGTAATCCCCATGATCTGACAAGTCCAAAAACTACGAAGCATCTCCTGAAGTCAGTGGATCAACAAGAAGGCTTATCTCTAGATCATTAGGCTTTTATCATTTCAAATTGTAATTTCTTTCTTGTTGAGTGTTATTTGTCATAAACTTTGTACTCTTTGGTCAAGTAATTCTAATAAAATAAGCATGCATGTTTTTGAAATCGATTCCTTCCAAAAAAAAAAAAAAAATCAACAACTTTCCATTTTCACTCGTTCTTTTCCATTTTTAAATCAACAAACTTCGATGGAGAATGATGAAATACAAAATAATTTAATTTTGTTGATGTATACTTTTTAATAGTAAGGCTTAGCTGACGATATAAGGTATTGTTTCAATTCCTAAATAGTGGAGAAATAAGGAGTTAATTTATAGTCAATCCCCTCGAGCCAGAAGTCATAGTTCTTTCTATTCTCTAAAAAACCCTTAATCTTAACCAGGGACAGGGTATATTTCAATTAATTCGACGATGCATTCAAATCCCAGGAGAATCAAGTCCATCCAAGCAAAGGTTCAAACATATTTTATTCCTCGATACATCATTGAGGAAATGATCTAATCAAAGGTCCAAGCACATCATCTTTCTCGCGTTCATCATCCAAGATTGGGGAATCAATGACGTCTTCTTCCTCAATACATCATTTAAGATCAAGGTAACAATAAAGGCAAAACTTACAATAATCAGCGCGAAGTCACGTTGTCATACCCCAATTTTTGACCTGAGATCCCATCTTCATTTGCATTTTTATTTACAAAATCAAAGTCACCAAACATGGTCGGTTTTTAACTCTCTCACCTCTGAGCATTGCCTATGTAGAGATTGTCAAGTGTTTTGAACATTTTTATCCTATGTATCACTAACTTCTAATCGAATACAAACGTGTATGTTCGTGTTTTCTTTTGTTTCATGTGTAGAGACAGGTCTGAATCAAGAGCATCAGGTGTTGCACCTTAGCTAGAGTTTTATGGGTCTTGAGGTTTCTTCATCAAATAAAGGAGCTTTCATCTGGATCCCGAGCAGTGAATTATGTAATTAGAGTTTTAGAGTTTGGCTATCATGGATTTCTTTCTCCTTAAGTTACGGGGCAATTTCTCATTCAAATTCATCAGATCTCGGGTTAGGGTTTACTTCCCTATTGTTTGTCAAGGGACTAGATTTTTGGATCCATGGTTATTGTGAAATTCTTCTTTCATTTGCTTCATGTACTGCTCAAGAGCAATATTTTAGGGTTGCAACTTGCTGATGTTAAGATTCTCTCCTCATTTTCAACTAAGGAGACTACGAACCAGGGTTTTGTAGATTCTCAACATCTCAAGTCACCTTCTTCATTCAATGTGCCTCTTAGATGAATTTGAGTTTGTTAATACCAGATTTTCCAAAATCACTTCAGGGGAGAATCTTGTGATCCAGGTTTCATCCTCGTGTTCTCAAATCATCTTCATTTCAAGGGACTTGTGTTTGTGTTAATTTCATCAACTAGAAAAGGCTTTGTCTCAATAAAGAATGCATTAAGTTTTCTTTCGAGAATTTATTGATTCAGAGCTTTCTTTTTGGTTCATGTCACATTTTGGTGGTTAAGGAAAAGATGTTGTATCAAGGTGTTATGGTTAAATTGAGTTTAAAACACAACATAAAATTTTATGTAATGCACTTTTGTGAATAACAAATATTGATTCAAAGACTTATGATCATGATTTGTCAATATTTGATTTGAAGCTAGGATAAGAAGGTTCATTATTCCAAGTGATTGTTCTTAAAAATTTGATTCAAGCAAATTTGAAAGATTCATGGCGTACTTGGAAGACAAGATACAAATGTTAAAGATCAAAGAAAATGCAAATTTGAATGACATAGTTTGAAACTTCATTGATTTCATTCAAGGCATGTATTCAAAATTCATAGAAATTCAAGATTAACCTCTTTCCATCATTATCATTAAAACAAGTCCATTACAAATGCATTCAATATTACAAGTCATTACAAGTTCTAAAAAGAAAGTCATTACACAAAACAAATTCCATCAAACCATTTCCATAATTTCATTCAAATTCATCCATAATTCTTTCCAAATATTATTACATATCATATTGTGTACATTTTGAAACAAAAAGCAAAAGGGAAATTAAATCTACAAGATGATATGTTTCTAAGTGACCAATTGATACAATTTGATTAAACTTTGTGATCCAAAAATGTTGTTGTCCACTCTGCATATCAGCCCTGCAAAAGAAAGATCAAAATCTGCATAATACACCAAACATAACAGTCCAAAACAAAGCCAAAACTGTCTTTTGTCTGCTGTCCAAAACTAGCTGCTACAAACCCTGCATTACAGTCCCAAAACTATGTAAAATCTGTCCAAAACCAGCCTATGTTGCAGTCGTCAAACTAGTCCTGCTATGCTGTCCCAATTTTGCACAAGAATGGAAAGCTTCAGCCTGCACCGAAAAAGCAATAAAACAGTTACAATAAAACCAAATTTCACATCCAATTTTCCCCCCAATTTTCCGATTCTTCACTCACTATAAATACACAAAATATAGGGAGAGAGGGACAACAGATACAATTGTAAAATATATACAAGAACAACAAAAAACCATTAGGAAGTGACTGATATGAGACCTAGAAAATTCCAGACAGTTTGAATTTACCAAGGAGATGGTTATCCTTTGTGATACTCCTATCACCTTCAAACACCTATAATATAGGTAAGAAGAAATCATCCCATTTGAGTTCAATTTCATTCAGTCAAATCTAAGTCTTAAAAATATGCAGAGGAATAACTATACAGTGCCTGAATGGAGACTGTTGTCTGCTGAGCCTGGTAGGTAGTAAAAACCTGCGATTTTCTTGTAGGGATAACGGTATTTCTCAGAATAAACTTTGTCATCACTCCGCCAACAGTTTCAATTCCATGGGTAAGTGGTGCAACATCCAACAGAAGGATATCTGCACACAGGAAATAGAAAAGTAGCAACAAATGCAACAAAACCAGCAGATGCAATCGCAACAGCACCATCTTCCACAAATGTAGTAGCAGCTTCCTCATATGCAGTAGCAGCTACAACAATAGCAACATCCAACAGAAGGATATCTGGACATAGAAAAATAGAACATCAGCAACAGCAGCCACCGGAGTCGAAGAAATTAGAAGAAGAATTTGTACCTAATGCAGATTTCTCTCTGGTATTCTTCTACACATTCGTGAAGAGTTTGTTTCAACAACAACCGAGACGAGTCTTCGTCTTGTAGGTAAGCCTTAAACCTTCATCACTTCCGCATTTAAGTATGTAAATCCATTACAAGCATCATATTCAAAATCTTAAATAGAACAAAAATCCAAACAATAAGAGAAAAGAGATTGATTGTGGAATTGTGTCAAACACATTGTGTGCAAAGTGTAATAACCAAAGCAACCAAACATATCTATCAACTCTAACTCACTCACTTTCTCTGCCACACAACAATGTCTTCCTCCTGTCGTAACACCAACGGCCGATCACCTCTCATCAATCCTCAGCGTCAAATTGTCGCCTTCAACTCCTCCCTCTACACTATCAACGTCGACCAACACACCATCCTATTCGACTGTTTTTGAGGCATCCTCAAACAATCCATCGGCGAAGGAACTCACTTCCTCATCCCATGGGTTCAGAAGCCCTACATCTTCGACATCTGCACTCATCCTCACACATTCTCTTCGATCTCTGGTACCAAGGATCTCCAAATGGTGAATCTCACTCTCCGTGTGCTTTCGCGGCCCGATAGGGAACGACTTCCAACTTTTGTGCATAATCTTGGATTGGAGTATGATGAGAAGGTGCTTCCGTCGATTAGGAATGAGGTGTTGAAAGCAATTGTTACACAGTTTAATGCGGATCAGCTGCTTACAGATCAGCCGCAGGTTTCAGCGCTGGTTAGGGATAGTCTTGTGAGAAGGGCGAAGGATTTTAATTTTCTTCTTGATGATGTTGCTATTACTCACTTGTCTTATGGTGCTGGGACTGATGTGAGAGAGTGAGAATTTTTTTACACGATAAAGACATAGAAAGAAGAGTTTATTGGAATAATAGTTTAATTTGTTTGTCCCTTCCCAATAAACAACAACAGTGGTGGCCTTTGTTACTAGGGTTTTCAAAAATCTTCCTTGCCTCTTCCCCAAACTGGGTCAGCATCTAATGAGCCTGTTGGCCCAATCACTATCAATATTCACCTTTTGTTTAAATTAGAACATAGTAATAACAGATAAATAACACAGTTCAGTTGGCAAAGCATACCACTAATAACCTAAGGGACACGAGTTCAACCCCATGCTGGGGCATTTTTCCGTTTTTTAGTTCTTTTAGCCTTATCTCCACATATTTTACTATATATTTCTTAAAAAAACATTAGTTTAGTTTATACATATAATTATTTTATGCCATTATAAAATATAAAAATATGTTGTTAAATTAATATTTTATTTAATTTTTGTTATTTAATTGTTTAAAAATACATGCTTATAAATTAACCTCTTATTGAATTTTTGTTATTATTCGATTGTCGCTCTAATTAACTTTATTCTCGATTGTTTAATCTTTATATCGTTCGTCTGTCTCAATTCCAAGGGAAATGTTTTAACTTTGTTGACTTCATGTCATCAAATATATTTGTTATGTTTGTGAGAATACTTTCATTCATTTTTGCTTTACTATTTTTGTTAATCTTAAGTTAAGTTTCCTAAAAAACTCAATTTTAAAACTCACACCTTTTATGTCAACACTTCGACACTAGGTCGTCGTATCTTCAAAATCTCATTCATACCCATTTTTGACCAAACAAACCATTTTAACCAAACAAACAATTTTAACCAAAAAACAGATATTTCAAAAGGTTCATGCGGAGTACCGCGGATGCTTTGGGTGCTAGTACCTTCCCATTGTATAACCAACCCCCTAACTCTAGATCTCTTTCAAAAAAACACATTGTATTTTCATTACTTTTAAGTATTACTTTACATTTCATATTTAAGGGTTTTATTTTGCTCGTTTCCCTTTTCCCTTGGAAATAATAAAGTGTGGTGGCGACTCTTGCTTATTTGCAAGTCAAGTTAATTAACAGCTTGATCTACGATTTTCACCGCTACAGAATTGGCGACTTTGCTGGGGATAGATTGACCTCTTGCTGGTCCATCCCTAAGTGGGTTAAGCCTAATTTGTCATATCTATTTTTTTGTTATTATTACTTGTTTGTTTGATTATATGTGATATATTATAGTTATTTGGGTGTTGATTACAAAGGATAAGTCCTATACCCGGACTAAGTTATACTTAAGATTAGGACGGGCGGTATAGTCATGTTAACTTTGAGGAGTAATCCCGAAGAAGGAGACATGAAATCTCCCACCCAGTGGAGGCCTATTTGAATGCAGTATTTGTTTACCGAGTAATCGGGAAGACATTGTTGCTTTCGACCTGGGAGCCAGAGAAGCTGATAACCATAGAACCCTTAACCCATCTTGGCCTCTTAGGTGTAGTGTGGAGAATATAACGGGGTAATCCGGAAGTAGTTGTCCCGTGATGTTGCACTCAGACGAGTTTCTCTTGAGAATGTTTCTAATTACCGAGTAATTGGGACGTTGGTAATATCCAATGGAGGATTGTAGACTCTGGGAACCTTTAGGACCTTGTTTTACAGGTGTGATTAAACCTTTAGTACATACCTTGGGGGTGGTTCCTACCCTCGGCTCCATGCTCGTGACGTTGAACATTTCAACTTTGTTTGTGACCTTGTTTGTGGTTGTTGCATAGTCATGCCTTCATGCATCCATGAAACTCTTTTTCACTTAATTTTCAATGAATTTGGAAGTCTTTCTCTGTAAATATCACAAGTTTTGTCAAGCTTAATGGATCTTGGGTGTTGATGGGGTGAAAACCTTAATCCACCAAAATGGATGATTGATCTTGATGATAACTTGATCAATGTTTTGATCCAATTTGAAATTCATCTTCTATCTTCATACTTTGATGTTTACAACTTAATATTTTGAGTTCCTTGAAAATCAAATAAAAACTCTCTTTGCATATCATGCATCATTCTACATTTTTTTTGTTTCACTTTTAAAGGTCATTTCCAAGTCTTGTTTTTCCTTGGGTCTCACCAGTACAACATTCATGCTAAGAGAACAATGGAGAATATCAAGCAAGAGGTTTCTGGACTCCGCAAAAAGATGACTAATTTGAAAGCTAGTATGGAGCACTTAAATGGTTTGGTTGAAATTTTGGTTTCCGCCCAAGTCAATCCTTCTAGAAAGGAAGAAGCGATGGCAAAGGTCTTCACTGAAACTCTGAAATCATTCTTTCATGAGAAGATGATAATTAATGCACCTAGTGACTTTCATGACAAGGTGAATGTGGGAGTGCGCCTAGAAGAAGATGTCTGAAAGGGATGTTTATATGAAGATGGTGGCGCAGCTAGCGGTGTGAAGAAGTTTGATAATAACTTTTCCAAGAAGAGAGCCAGAGGAAGAAGTAATCATCGCCAGAATCATCATGTTTCTCCTATCATCCATATGTTCAATTTACCTTTTGCAGCTCTGTATCGGTAGAAATGTTAAGACTAAGCCATTGGATTGACTTGACTTATACAGATCAAAATAACAATCGCCACCGTGCTTTATTGTTTCCAAAGGAATGGGAAAAGAGCGAATAACCCAAAAGAGGGGGAAAGATTCTAGGTAAGGGGGTTGGTTATGCAAAGGGAAGGTATTAGCACCCTAAACATCTACGGTACTCCGCAGGAACCTCTTTGAAAAATCTGTTTATTTTGGCTATAAAATGTTGTATGTAAAATAGATTGTGGGGATGAGAAAAGAAGTATATATTTTTTTATGATTTTTGCACCCATCGCACTTGCGAACCTTTAGTACCTACGTACCACCTTCCTTGCAATAAGGGATCAGGGTACACATAGTTCCTCTTTAAAAATTTAAAACACAAGTATGTTGGTTAATTTTAAGAGACAAGACGTCATTGCCATTGTTCGTGTGGAAAACATGCTTACTACCCACAGTTATGAGAATGGATAATTTGCATCATCTCAACGTGGAGGATATGACTTGGATTTTAAAATCAACAATGCCTCACTCAACACCCAAGTGGAAAATACCTCACTTCACTACATATTGTAGAAGTATAATTTTTTGTATCACTACAAGGATTGACAAGAGTCCAATCTTTTTTAAGAAATTTTTTTAAAGATAAAAGCCAAAATGACAAAATAGTTTGAAAGAGATTCATTGATGTTTAGTCTTCTCACAAAAATGTCAAGGTATTATTAAGTTATTTGAAATTTGATTAGGAAATACTTTTTTTTTGGAAATGCATTGACATAAGTCCAAGTTTATTATGAAATTGTTCAAGTTTTAAAACAAGATGATTTTTCAAAAGGAGGGAAAATATTTTTTGAAATTAAAGATGGGAGGAGATGAAGAGACTATCCTAAAGCATAAGGTAAAAGCTAAGGAGAAGAACCATCTAACTAAACAAGAAGTCATCATTTGACATAATGAGTCAATGTAGAATCCCATCCTTTAGATTTGAAACCAAGCAAACAATTAATAAACCTCTTAAGAATACCAAACTTCAATTTTCATAGGTCCTCACAAAAAAACTGGGCAGAGTAACAGTTGTATACGGGGGAATTCCAGATTACAGACAGAGTATGTAATCACAATAACCTGCACACAAAACAAACAAACAACCCAATGTCTTGGGGTAAACCCCAATAAATCTAGACAAAATATCAATTAAGGTCACAAGATCTTCAACATAGGTCAAGGTTTCTACTCATAAGTCCAAAAATCCCATCACTCCAAAATGCCAAGGATAGTAACCAAGTAGTCCAAGTAACATTAAAGTTTTTTAGGGTTTAAGTTGATTATTAGGTATCTTTAAAAAGAAATGAAAAGCTCAAGTGAGAAAAATAAAAAGAAGACATAAAAGATAAAGGCTCAAGTGAGCAAAAATGAAAATAACATGAAATGTAGATGCTAAAGTAAATGGTACATAAAGTAAAAGCATAAAATAAAAGCATAAAATAAAGTCAATTGCTAGAAGTTAATGGTTAGTTGGATGACCATCTTGAAACTAGAATTTGGAACTCATTAGAGGAATTGTAGAATCAAAGCCTCTCAACAATAAGTTGCATTTTTTTTGTCAAGTATATCATCTGTTTAAGAATCTCAAAGTAACACTTAATGATCAATGATGTTTAAATGATCCACTTTGACCAAAATTGATGAAGTTCCATTAGAGGATTGGTAGAACCAAAGCCTCCTAACAATGGATCTCAAAGTTATTGGATCAAAGTGTTCAAACTAACATACTTAGGCTCGCAAACATAGGTTTGGGCCACGAATGATCATTCTCTCAAATCGGGATAAAATTTAGCGCTATGTTAAGCAATCGTAAGTGGACTTATATAGAAGTCGCACCTATTTTGAGGTCGGTCAATAACAATCTATGCACCTTATATTTTGAGATATAATATGTAAATCATGCTCCAATAACATTTGGTTCAATAAGAATGGGATAAGATGAAGAGGAAAGGGGAAATGAATAAACCACATTTGAACCAAAAATTCAATCAAACTATTATTAAAACCATTAATTCATTTTTATGGAGTTAGACTCAACACCATGGATCCAATGATGTTAATAAAGTTCATGATCAAAATTTTAATCCAAGATCAGCCAGCCTATATACAAAAAGTAAAATCATATTTAAAATAAAAGAAAAAGGGTTTTTTAAAATGATTAAAAATGAAAATAAGAGAGAAAAATAGGAATTATGTTCAAATTAATCAAGAAAAATTGAATGAGACCAAAGAAAAATCAGGAATGAACTCAAATATTTTTATAATTTTTTTTGGTAATTATTTAAAATCAAAAATTATTTTTAAAATTAAAAGAAATGGGTAAAGGGTAAACCAAAAAATGATTAAAAAAATGACCAAGTCAAAAATAAAAAATAAATGAAGTC